AAAAGTCAATCGAGGGCTGAGGAATATTCCCAGCCCTATTATGATATTGTCTGTCATCAGCTGCCCGATTTACCATGCACCCATGGCCAATAATCTCGTCTGCCTGGTCTGTCAATCTGTCAGTACAGCCAATTCGCCTTCGCACTTTCCAGGATGCGTTTGTTTTAAGGACGAGAAGGAGAAGGAGCTGACTGAAATGGAGGGGGCTAATGCGCTTAATAGACAAGTCAGACGGAATTCCAACGCAATTGGATGTTAACAGATTTAATTTTGTTCTTTTGTTTTGTATATATACCAAGGCAATGGACAGCGACTGTTGAAGATTTTGTATAAAGTCTGGCGAATAGGTCGGTTAACCTTATGATTGTATTTTATTTGAGGCCTCTTACCAGTTTCATGGATCCCTATCTACCTTTTAGTTTCGAAACTTTCTGAAAAAGTTGGCCACTTTTTAAAAATATACGAGTCACAAGAAATAATCTACTTAATGTGCCATAAATAAAAAAAATTCGCATCCAATGCAAATCCATGTCATGGTAAAACAAAAAAACAGAGTTAGTAAACTAGAATTTCAGAGTTAATATAGAAAATGCATGTGTGCCACCATCCTATTGACATATTACCATCTTTTCCGAAATTTTTATCGTAATTATTAGCCTAGAATATTCTGGAAAATTAGTTTTAATTGTGAAGACCATCTGATTCAATATCTAAATGCTTTAAAAGTTTTTCAGCTTGAAGTAGAAAACTGAAAATTATGTTAAAATAAAATGTGGCAAGGTTTGACTCACAGAACAGGTTTTTAGAATGTTAATAGTTGGCTTAAAAATTGCTTTTAAAACTTGCACGACATTGACAGTTCTTTGGTAAAAAGTTGGCTTCTTGTGCGCACTTTAATTTGGCAATAACTACAACTCACCAGTTTCGCCGGCTAAGTTTTGCAACCTCCAAAAAGACTTTGCACCACCCCATTTGCCACTTGACAACAAGCGAGTTATTATAATTAATGGGACAAGGAAAAGTTTCAGGAGGCGACCTCGCCTCATTAGCATGGAGGATATATATAAATATATAGCCGCATATAGAAAATGCACTGACACGTGCGGCGAGATGAAATAGAAATGAATTAAATTCCACCTTTTGTTGGGCAAATATTATTCCACTCGCTGGCACTCGAGAAGAGCCTTGCTGGCTGGCCCCCTGCCACTGATGAAATGGAAAACCTTCGGCATTCAAAAACTGCCATTTGGAAATGTCAAGTGCAGCCCAACGATGGGGATGGAAAGGATGATGATGCAGCTCGTCCATCAACTGACAGGATATCATACCACCATTCCAACATCCCACCAGATGGCCGAACTTTGATTTGATTTCTGACTTCCGAATCCTGCCAATCTGCAGGACATCATCTTTCGATTTGGTTTGCCAGACACTTTATCACTTAATGTTCGTTTGTGGCAATTTATTCTTTATTCACCTGTTTATCTACACACAGATATGGCTGCACTGGCAAAAAATGAAGTGCATAGCAATTGTGTCTTTTTACTGTGTTCAATTATCTAAAATTTATATCTAAAATTTATATTATTATTTCAGTTATAAAATATGTAAATGTTGATTTACTACTTATTTTGTTTTGTAGTTTTGTAAAATTAAAAGCCGAGTAGTTTTTTTTCAAATAAATATTAAAATATGCTTATTTTGGTAATACTAGACCTTTTTTAGAGATGTTTCAAGTACGTAGGTAATTATTTACAACTTTTGTTCACAAATTAATGAATTCATTTCTGCCAGTGCACACGTGTCCAGCTGAATTTGTCTGTCGTCCTTGGCTTTGTGGTTTCGGCTCTTGTTAAGTGAAACAATTGAATTGTTAACTGAACAATAAAGTATTTTATTATTATTAGATTTTTGCTGCCTGCCAAGCAATCCCATTGCCATTTGCCTTTTGTCACATCTCGCTGGCGGTCCCAGGCATTTTCTGATTTTTTGACTTTCCCCAATTTCCCCCGTTTTCCCCAGTTTTTCGCCATCCCTCCCAATTTCCCTCGGCCAGAGCCTTAAGTGCCTTTCGAGTCTGATATGGCTGATTCGGCTCATGGCCGCTTGGCTTTTTCGGCGACTGTCTCGAGTAGATTTCCGACATATTTCCCGACTCCTGTTATATGTCATTTGTATTATGTTCGACGCTTTTCATTCCCTCCCCGCCCCCTTTCTTCCCCTCTTTTTGGCCTCCTGGCTTTCACTTTCTTGGCGGCCTTCTCTGGTTCCCGGTTCCCCTTTGTTGGCTTTTGATTCTGTATTGCCAAAGCCATTTAGGTTTTTGAATTTATGACCATTTTGCGTTTTGTGGCCCCTTCTCAAATGCCCAAGCAATTTATGATTCTTGGCCTTTTGGCGCACCCTCTACTCAGTGTCCCGATGCTTTTGATTTACGATCCGCAAATATAGGAGGCCGAATGCCCGGAAAAAGAAAGGTAGCCGGTAGGCCAGACAATGTTGGCACCCAAAAATCAAAGTCGGGCCATTTGTCTCCTTGTGACAGTGTTGGTCACGCACGACGGGCAATAAATAGTGTTGCGAATGGCAAACTCATTAAAAAGAACAAGATCATTGTGCTTCGATCGGAAAAGCTATAGCCATCTGTGTCATTCAATTTGTCAAAATAATTTACACTTAACAAAGATTACAATATTACAATTGCAGAGTTTGAAAAATTCAAGATGTGAACTAATCTCAGTGTTGAAAAGGGGCAAGTTTAGTGTTTTTTATTGATAAATACTCCAGTGTTAAAGAATTTTATATATACCAAAGTCCTCAAAGCATTTGTATTATTATTTTTCTCGACCAAATACAATAGTCGTCGAATATACTACGCTTTGTTAGCAACTCGAAAGATAAAAGGAACATCATCAGTTAAATATTTTTTGTTGGGAGTGGGTGGGAAAATCCTAGCAACCAATTAAACGGAAGGCAATCAACAGGCGCCAAAAAGTGGAGCAAACAGTGCGGCAAGCCGACTCCAATTTAATTGAAATATTTAAAGTGCGACAGTGTGGAAAAATGCCAGAAAGAAGCCGTCAAACGCACACACTCACTCACACTCGGTGTGGAAAACCTTCTTACATGCTAAGCGAACTGCAAGGACGACTGGCAAACAGAGGAAAAGCGGTGAAAACTCAAAAAAAAAAAAAGTATAGTGCAAGGAGGCACCAGAACAAAAATGCAAAGGAAAACGTGGCCACGATACAAAGACAACTTTTAATGCCATTCAACAAAGTTGGGATAGTTTTTTTTGCACTGGAAAAATATTATTCTTAAAGGAACTACGATACTGTATTCTATAAACTTTTGATTTATTTTTAACACTTAAAAATCGGAGTAAAAAGCATTTCTTAAAAAAAATATAAGCTATTGTTATCGCAATTAAATTCCTTATATTTGGATATTCAAACATTTTTCAGTCTTGTTGTTTCAGTGGAAAACTCAGTCGCTGCTTTTGTTGTCTTATATTTTTTTATTGTCCTTTGCAGGACACACGGTACACATAAAGGGCGGGTTTCCGTAAAAGGACACAGGCGATGAAGCAATCGAGACACAGTGGAAAGTACGGAAAGTCGAAAGTTGAAAATTGAAACTTTTGATGGGATCGAGAAGTGGCAGCAGGATCTGTGTCCTGGCAATAATATTTTGAACACGTCTTCGCCACACTTTTCCATCGCTCTGTGGATAGTTTTACGCTTTACGTGGCAATCGGGTTTTTGTTTATGGCATATCTATATTTCATATTTTCTGCACTGAAAAACCAATCAAATTCTAATCCACCTGCAGGTCATAAGATATTCATTTTGGTTGTACAACATTTGTTTTGCTCTGCAGCTTTGCATTTATGCTAGAAAATGTGGAAACGGTGAATGCTTCCTGCCATTGAATTAAATATTTCGAACCGCCAGCCGGCCGCATTTCCACCCGCTTTCCACCCGCACACACTTTTCCGGATGGAAAAGCCAATGCCCTAACCCTTCGCAGTCGTGGCATTTGTGCAGCGTTTTGAAATGGCCTTTCCATTCCATTGTAGTTGCATTTAAATTTGTCCATTTGATTCCATCCCATTGTTGCATTTGCTCATGCCTCATTTGAGGCGATTACACACAAATAAAAAGAGCGCAGCGAACGGAGAGAGTGTGTGGTGAAAGGAGAAAGCGGAAGTGGGTGAAAGTGGGTGAAAGTGCGGGGTTGGCGGAGGCCAAAGCACTTGACCATTTGCACTATTTGTTAGCGCCTGATTGGGCCATCAATTATTTTTGTCAAATAAGTGCTGCACTAGTATCAATGGCAGTTTTTGGGAAATACCTGTGAAATATGGAGCGGAATTTTATCTCATTTTTTAGGTAAACGGCTAACTTGCGTATCCAAAACTTGGGCATGAAAACATTAAACATTAAAGATCGCAGTGAAACCATTAATATATTCTAAAAAACCTGACTGCTAAACAAATAGTTTACCAAATCCTAAATGTATTTTAAATATATTCTTTGTAAACTAAAATTCTTATAAATTCCAGGAAGACAAGGTATTATAGTTTGCTCAATTTGCAACTTAAAAATTTTAGAAATTGAATTTTAAGGAGCTCGGAGCTCTAAAACTAGAACCTACATATATGATTAAATAAAGAAAACAATCGACAAACAAATTAACTTACTTTTCAGATTGAAATCGCCTTTAAGATTTAAAAAGAAAATTTTAGAAACAGAAAATATTTGATTTTAGAAAGGTTTTCGTTAGCAAGAATTACCTAAAATTTGAAGCCGTAAATTTCATAAAATTTTTCAATGGATTCTATAAAGATTTAATCCTAGTTTCAAGAGAATTCTATTTCTGAAGTTAAGTGGCTAAAAATCATTTCAAAAGTCAAGGGTGAATCATTGCCTTAGTTATCATATGCATATGTATATTTATATTTATAAACTATATGCCGTATTATAGGGCGATCTACTCACATAGCCAGTTCATGCGCTCCGTGTACTCGACCTTGCGCTTGAGGTCCTTGACCAAAGCACGGAAGTCGTCGTCGTTGAAGTGGCACTGGATGATCGTGTTGTTCAGCTGGAGGATGCTGTACTCGTTGTTGCCGTTGTTCCCATTATTCCCGTTCCCATTCCCGTTCCCATTGCCATTCCCATTATTCGAGACAATCGTGGCCATGGCATCCCTGGCCCCGTTGAGCGCATTCGACTCGATGTCGGTGGCACTGGCCCGCATCTTGTTGCCACCAAAGCCGGCGGAACTCAGGGCGGTGGCTGCCACATCGCCATCGACATTGCTGCATGACTTGCTCAGGATGATGGTTGCCCGATTGGCAATGGAATTGGCAGCCAACAGATGCTCGCCGGCGGCACCGCAACTGCCGCGATGGAAGGGCATCGCCTTGCCGCAATTGTTGTTCTTCAGCGTGATGCAGTGCAGCTGATTCTGGAGGGCGGCCTGGACCGCTGAGCAATCGCTGGCCCGCCGGCGTCGCGGATTATCGCCGCCATCGGGCAGCGAGGTGGGTTGCAAGTGGGTGGTGGTTGTGGTGGTGGTGGTGCTGCTGCCACTCGACGTTGCAGGTTGCTCCACGCTGAGTGCTGTGGTTGCAACGGCTGCCACTGTTGCTGTGGCACCTCCAGGATTCGACATATTGTTGTTGTTCTGTATGCTGTTGCAGTTGTTATTGTTGTTGTTGTTGGTGATCCTCTGCTGCTGCTGATGATGATGATGTTGGTGCCGGATCACAGTCAGATTGCCGCGGTGATCCTGCTCCTCGTAGAACTGGATGAGCAGCTCTTCGAGCAGATTGATGTTGTTGGAGCAGAAGGATTGCGAGGCGGATGCCGAGACGGAGACGGAACCGGAAACGGTGGTGGTGCCGCTAATGGTGGAGCTGCTCGACGACTTCCGGCGCACGGTGGCCGTGGTGGTGGTGGTGACTGCAATCGCCGGCTCTGCACCCTCTGCGTTGCCTTCGGCTTCTCCCTCGCCTGTGCCCTCACCTGGCTGCTGCTGCTGCTGCTCCTCCTGATCCTCCTCCTGGTGCTCCTCCACCTCCAGCTCACTGCTGCGACTCCTGCTGCTGACCGCCTCTAAGCTGATGCTGCTGCTGCCGCAGGCGCAATCGATGGCCGCCAGAGGGCCGGCAATTGCCGCTGTGGCCGCGGCCAAGACAATCGCCCGCTGGTGCTCCTTGCCGGGATCGAAGATCGAGTGCCGGAGCAGGATCTCCTGCAATTGGCGCCGCTGTCGGCGGGCACTGTACGGATTCACCAGCCGGAAATCGCCGTAGTATTTGGACAGGCAACGCACTCGCGATGCAATGTAGCCAATCTTGCGCAACAATCGTACGTCCGCCTGCTGCTGTTGCTGCTGTAGATGTTGCTGCTGCTGCTGCTGCTGGTGGTTGCTGCTGCGCTGCAGCAAGGCCGCATTGCCGCAACTGCTGCTGCTGCCGCCGCTCGGCGAGGTGTTCTCCTGGGCGGTCGTCTGGCAATCGATCTCAATGTACTCGCACTCGGCACTGTCCTCGCTCTCCACCGGACTGCTGTCCTCGATGTCGCTGGTGGTGGTCGCGGTTGCGGTGGCAAGTGTTGCTAGTGTGGCAAGTGTTGCTGTTGCCGCCGTGGTCGCCGTACCGCTGGCTATAACCGTCGTGGTTGTGGTCGTCGCATTCGCATGGATATCGCTCTCGGTGATGGTGGTGGTTATAATTGTGAGCGTTTCGAGCGTTTCCTCGTCGCTGCTGCTGGTTGTTGTTGCTGCTGCTGCTGCTGCTGCAGTTGCTGCTGCTGTAGATGTTGCTGCTGCTGCTGCTGCTGCTGCACTGCTGCTGCCGCGTCGACTGCTACTGCTGCTGCAGCCACTGTCCTGGTACATTTATAAGCAACCCTTGCTAACCGTTTCTTCGACACTGTTTTGGCCGCTGCACTTGCCAGCGATTTTCCCGGCTTTTCTCAGCTTTTCCCTGCGTTTCCTTGCTTTTCCCTTTGCTGTCTTAATTGTTACTGCCTGCGATTACTTTTATATTTCTTCCCTATTCGTTTTTGATTTGCTGCATAAATTAATTTTACCAGCAAGTGAGAGTGAGTGAAGGGGGGGGTTTTTTGTTTTGTTTTGTATTTTTTGGAGCGGGGGGCGAATTTTTACGTATTTTTACGAGGCTGGCGCCGTTTTTATGACCGTTGTTTCCTTTTGTTACTTGCAATTTGTTTTTGATGTTTATGCCACGCCAGCAAAGTTATGCAAATTTCCGCCGCTCCCCCGGCGCCCTATATTGCGTATACGTATCGCGCATACGCTCCGTATGCCGGCGCCCAGAACTCCTGGCTCAAACTCAAATCAAATCAATTCAGTGGAAAAGTTGCCGCCACGCGCATTTTTTTTTGGCATGTCAACCGCTTCACTTTCTTTTGTTTTTGTTTTTGCTTTTGCTATTTTGCGCTCCGTTCGCCGTTCTCAGTTCTGTTGTCATTTGTGTTTTACATTTTATTGTGTTTTAATTTGCATTATTCAGCCGTTCGTCCTGCCGTCCTGCGCTTTTCCTCCTTCCTCTGGTCGTCACTTCCGTTTCCGTTTTGAGGGCTCTGGCAAAATCTGCAAGGAGAACAATAAGGATAGGTCTATGAGTCTCCAGTCGAAATTTAGCCAAAAAACACCTCTAATGAAAAGTGTTTCCTATGACAAGGCAACAAAATTAGCTACTAATTTCAAATAAATGGGTAAAATGGCTGTATTAATTACCGTTGGGTGGCACATATTCCATACGACTTTTATAATACAAAATTTACAATGATTGTCTATTTTGTACAATAAAGAAAAACTAAATTATAAAGCTTGGAAAAATATTCAATGGTAGCTTTCAAACTAATGTGTTTTTTTTTTATTTTTCGATGTTTTTTTTTTATTTTTCGATTTTTTTTTTTGTAGAAAATTTGGCAAAATAATCTGTAAATGCCAATCGATTGAAAATTTAATTACAAATTCAACGAGGTATTGCATTTTATTATATTAAAAATACTCTTATTTTTTGTTGAAAATCACATTTTTCGCATTTTACATTTTTCATAATTTTTTTCAAAAAATGCACTAAAAAATCGGTGAACGCCCCTCAATTGGAAATTTTGTAACGAGTTCAACGAGGTATGACATTCCATTATTGGGCCATTATTCGCATTGTTATTGTAAAAATACTGATAATTTTGAGCGAAAATTGTTAAAAGTCAAATTTTTCACATTTAACCTTTTTCATGATTTGTTTCTTCCAAAATTTGACAAGAAAAACTGTGAATGCCAGTTGATTGCACATTTTGTTACGATTTTAACAAGGTATGGCATTTCATTATTTTTTATTTATTTTCTATATATCAAAATAAATAAGAACCTTCTTAAACAAAGTGTTATTGATTTCGGCATAAATCAATCGACTTAGCATCATTTCTAGATGCAAAGGCAGCTCAAAAATAATTAAATATGAATACAGTTTGAGCCACAGAACTCGTTCAAAGCTGATTGCTTCAATAAATTTCATTTGTTGTGCCTGCAATTTGCACTGATTGAATACAAGAAAAATACCAACATTGTCCCCTTCTAATCTCTGGAAATCAGCAAGGATCCGGTACTTTAGACTGGTTTAATTAATACAAAATCAATCAGACGAGCGGCCAAGGAAAAACCAAGAGAGAAAATACAAGGACCAACAAATAAACAAATGGATAAATAGGAAAACAGCAGCAGCAGCCACACAACAATGTAAATATTTTATGAAATATTTTTAGTACTTGCTCGGCACTCTACGTTCTGTTTTGTTGTGACAATCGATTGCAGTTTGCAGTTAGTGTCGTGGAAGTGAGTGGTGAATGTGGGTGGTGCAGGGTGGTTTAGGGTGGTTTAGGGTGGTGCAAGGTGATTCGGGTGGTCACTCGGCAATCCCAATAAGCAGACGTGCTCGACCGCAGAGACAAAGGCGTTGCCCACTGGCGGTCAAGCCGGCAACCCACTGTTGGGTGGTCATGTGGTGGCTTAGTGAGTGGTTGAGTGGGTGGTGTGATGGGTGGTTGAGTGGGTGGTGCAGGGTAAACAGCGGGCAATTGCTGAAAGCATCGGCTGGCGGTCGGTCAGTCGGTCGGTCAGTCGGTCAGCAACAGGAACAGCAGCAACATCACCAACTGTCGCCGACGTTGACAATGACGGCAAATGTCAAACAGTCTTGTCCACTAGCCACCCCCACCGAACCGCCCACATGGCACCACACACCACCCACCACCCACCACCCACCACCCACCATTCACCACCCACCACGCAACACCCATCACCCCATTAAGTGCACAGCAACGACATCTCGCTCCTTCTGTTCATCTGTCAATCAGTTTATCTGTCTCTTTTGTTTGTCCGGCAGCAACTCGTGTGCAACTTCCACAATGCGCCACCGAGACAAAGGACTGCAACATGGCAATGGCATTGGCGGAATCGGGATGGGGAAGGGGAAGGGGATGGGGATGTCCAGTTGTTCGGTGGTTGGGCGGCCAAAGATCCACCAAGAACCAGACCACTCGACCAGGCTTAAAAGATTTCGAATGCTCAAGAGAAAGGCTTTCAAATCAAAGACATTTCGCTGACTTAAAAAATATAAGTCGAAAATACTTTTTACTTGCTGTAAAAAAAATATAAATCAAGAACACTTTGAGGCATTAAAACTTCTAAAGAATTTTTTTTACAAATATTACATTAATTGAAATATATTTATTTATTTCCAAGGATCTTAAAAAATATATAAGTACAAACTATTAAAAGTTAAAGCTTTATTTGTTTCATGTACTGAACTCTTTTTAATTTAATGTGCCACCACAAATAAAAATAGTTTTCCATATTCAAGTAAAATTCAACCAAACTTACATACTCATTAAAAGCCAAGTATAAGTTTTGAATTTTCAATTAACTGCATGGAAAAACATTCAGAAATATGCTGATGCCATTAATGGAGTTACAAAAGTATATAAAGTTTGGACTTTAATCTTTATTCGACTCGTTTTAAGAGTAACATTTTTATAAATTTAATTCTGCAACTTGAAGGCCTCCAACAAAATGAAAAGTTTGCATTATATAATAGGATTCCACTGGATTCCCCCACTTTAAAACATTAATTGAACATCTTTTATTGCCCGACGCTGCCGTTATAAATTCTTAATTTCCATTTTTTATTGCCCGAGGCTGGCGTGCTAAATTCTTAATTTCCACTTGTACTTTTGCTAGTTTCACACTGAAGCCCCGTTTCCTTGAAAGGATCTGCGACACACACACTCACACTCACTCACATCGAAATGGATTTTTCCAAATTCCGAACGCATTGCGAACAGCTAACGTGGCGTATCCGTTCGTGCGTTTCTGGTATGCTGACGATTCCGGCACGACAGGAAGTGGAAATGGTGGTGGATTGTGGGTGGTGGGAGGTGGTTTTAGGGGGTGGCAGCTCGATGGGAGGTGGAGTATTTCCAAGAGGCCAAGAAAACGTCCAAAAACGCTTGAAAAGATTCAACTTTGTTGCATCTAATTATGGGCAATTTGATTAGGGCTCACAAACACAAGGCTACACAACCATCTCTTCTTCACACAGATACGGCACACACACAAGCCCCCTCTCTCACACTCACACAGACACACTGACACAGACACACACACAGACACACACACAGACACACACACAGACACACACACAGACACACACACACACAAAGACAAGTGTCAATATGAAGCCGCAGGTGGCGCAATTGCCGACGCTGTCATGGCTGACAAAACGCAAACGCAAACAGAAACCGCCGCGGCCTTGTCCCAAAACCCTCGCCAAAAACCACCCACCCGAGACAGCACCACCCCCTCCCCCCCCCCTCCCTCTTCCCACACCGCAGGGATCCACCCAAACTCCACCTTAAAATAACCAAAAACCAGACCGAATCGAAGCGAAACAAGACAGCCGCCAACTGTTGAATGGTGGCAACAGTTTCTGGCCGCCATTTTGCTGAATTTCATTTATTTACAGCGAAAGCAAGTGAAATAAAATAAATATAACAAATGTGTATGTTGAGTCCTTGGAAAAATTCGTTAGCAAAATAAGGATTAATTAATTAACTTATAACTTAATTAACACATATGTAAACAGTAGAAAAATAAAACATTTAAAATAAAGCAAATACAAAGGCTATTAAATATTTTCTGTATGCAAAATCTAAATCCAAAATTAAAATCGAAATTAAAAATGTAATGCTCTCTAAAAAATTATGATAAATGATTAATTTTCGGTAGTAATAAAACACAGAAATTTATTTGGGAAAATAAAATCAGATATAAAAGGGAATAAAAACGTTAAAGTGCTACAGAATTAAAACAAAATTAATAAGCAACTAAATGCAGTCTTAATTTATTTTTGAAGTTTTCAATTTTAAATTTTATTCACCATTTTTATTCATCATACGAAAGTATGAGTTCAATCCAAAAAAAAATAATTCAATCTATACATTTGTATCATTTAATTAAAAATTTGGAAAAAATATCAGCCAAAAATAAGTAAACTAATTTAAATAATTCAAAAGCTGCTTAACAATTCCTGTTAACTGTTTGTGTTTATGGCCGAAAATGAATTTGTTATGGATTTTGGGCGAAGGGGCGCATTGTTCGTGTTGACTTATCACAATGGATCCAGGCGTTGTAAAATAAATAAAATCAAAATGGGCAGCCGCCGTTGCCGACAAATTGCGAGCACATGTCCCTGGCCATGTCCTGCAGCCTGCTGCTGTCGCTCCCTTAAATGCATCAAAATGTGCAGCCTACTTTCAGGCCTTCACCCGCTTTTCCGGTGCCCCCCCCCTTTTCCCCTTCTCCCTTTTTCGCCCCCATTTTCCCGGATCGCCAACAAACAACAATACGGAGAGGGAAATAAAAATGCTGCAACAACGACAGCGACACACATTTTGCGGTTGATATGAATATCGATTCGACCCGTTAACTGTGCCAGCCTGCAGCCCCCTTTTACAACCCCCCAACCTCCCCCCCCACCCATCATCCCACCCACTTTTAGCCTGGTATGTAAACTAGAACTTTGTATAAATTTATGTGCACAACAATGTTTATGTTGTTGAATAAACGAGGAGTTTTGCATGCGGCGAACGCCAGGACCACTTGTTCCCCTCTCTCACTCACTCCCCCTCACTTTCCCTCCCCTCTCACACGTGTGTGTGTGTGTGTGTCCATGTGTCTGTGTAATGGCAGGATGCAACATGAAAATGGCGTGTGGCTAGCAACGTTTTATTTGCTCGTTCTCTGGTCCTTTTCCCTTTTTCCCTTCTCTCTCTCGTCCTGACTCCATTTTGCCATACTCCTTTTCTTTGTTTGTGTGTGTGTGTGTGGGCTGCACTTTAAATAGAAATATGCCACACTAACACACACTCACTCACACTCACACACATAGGCACACACCTCTAGGCAGTAAAAACATTCAATTTTTAGTACGGAAATCGCTTAACAGCCCTAAATAATGGTCAATATACGGCCTCTGGCTCTCATGCCGATATTTTCCCTTCGTCCTTTCCTTATTCTTCCTTTCT